CTGGAACCTTGGAAAATAACCGACTGGTATCAGTCAGGTGTGAGTCTGGGGACCGCTTCGAGTGTGAAGGTGGTGTCTACGGACGCCTCCACCTCGGGGTGGGGAGCGCTGCTCGAGGGCAGACCGCTAGCTGGCCTGTGGTCAGAACGGGAAAAGCTCCTTCACATAAACTGCTTGGAGATGATGGCAGTCGACAAAGCGCTACGGCGTTTTTGTCCCCAGGTAACAGGCCACCACGTCTTGGTCCGGTCGGACAACATGTCAGTGGTGGCATACATAAATCGCCAGGGCGGCGTCAGGTCACGAAACCTTCACAGGCTGACGGAACGCCTCCTGGTCTGGGCTCAGCACAACCTGCTCTCACTGAGAGCAGCGCACGTGCCTGGTCACCTGAATGTGGGACCAGACAGACTGTCCAGGAACAATGTTCCAGCAGGGGAGTGGTCGCTGCACCCGCAGACGGTCCAGCTGCTGTGGAAAACGTTCGGCAGAGCACAGGTGGACCTATTCGCGTCCCACGAAAACGCTCATTGTCCGAAGTTTTTCTCGAAAAGCAAGGACGCGCTGGCTCATGTTTGGCCCCGCTGCCCCCTATATGATTTTCCTCCTTTCTCGCTCCTGCCTCAAGTGTTGGAACGAATCAGGGAAAACGGATGCCCAGTGCTGCTCGTAGCTCCGCTCTGGACAAACCAGACGTGGTTCCCTGCCCTGATGCAGCTGACCAGCACTGCCCCATGGCCTGTACCATTGAGGAGAGACCTCCTCTCTCAGGCGGAGGGCTCGATTTGGCATCCTCGCCCGGAGCTGTGGTCCCTGCACGCATATGCCATCAACGGGTACCCGCTAGCCTCCCAGAAGGAGTGTTAAACACGATCGCGCAGGCTAGAGCTCCGTCTACCAGGCGGCTCTACTCCTCGAAATGGTCTGTTTTCTCTGCATGGTGTCAAGCCCAGAGCTTTTCACCTGTGGACTGCGGGGTTTCGGAAGTGCTTTCCTTCCTTCAAGAGCTACTGGATAAGGGCAGGACCCCATCCACGCTCAAAGTATATGTGGCGGCCATAGCAACGTTTGCAAAACCGGTGTCTGGCCAGTCGCTGGGGAAGAACGACTTAGTCGTGCGTTTCCTTAGGGGAGCTCGGAGGCTAAACCCTTCCAGGCCCCCTTCAGTCCCGACGTGGGACCTTTCCACGGTCCTGGAGGCCATGAAAGGCGCCCCGTTCGAGCCAATCCAGCTGGTGGACATGAAACACCTGTCGTTCAAAACAGTGTTTCTCATGGCTCTCGCTTCAGTGAAGCGCATAGGGGACTTGCAGGCGCTTTCAGTAAGCGCGTCATGTATGGAGTTTGGGCCTAATGACTCGAAGGTCATTCTAAAACCTAAGCACGGGTATGTGCCGAAATCCCTCAATACACCGTTTAGGGCCCAGGTAATTTCCCTGTCCGCCCTTCCGGTTCTCAATGAGGAGGAGGACGCGAGTCTCCTTTGCCCCGTCAGGGCATTAAGAGCTTATGTGTCACGCTCGTCTGTTTTCAGGCAGACTGAGCAGCTTTTCGTTTTGTTTGGCGGGCGCTCCAAGGGACTTGCCGCCTCAAAACAGAGCAGTGCCCCTTGGGTGTCAGAGCGCACTCCACGAGAGGCGTGGCCTCTTCGTGGGCATGGTCTAGCGGGGTTACCCTGCAAGATATCTGTACGGCCGCGGGCTGGGCCTCGCCGTCTACATTTATAAAATACTATAACCTGGAGGTACCCGCCTTACAAGCTAAGCTTTTGGCGGTCTAGAATTCAGTGCTATCTGCCCCGCTGTGCGGCCCAGATGCTGAGTTTACTGCAGCCCCATGAGTGTTGACACACGTATGGCCACTCAGATCAGGCTGAAAGCTTTCACCCTGGCTGCGCGTTTAATTGTCATATGATAGCCCCGCTGGGTGCTATTTTATAAGGAATGACGCTTCCAGCCTCTCTTCCTCCACTCTATGTGAGTTTATGGTGATTATGCACTATATGAGCCCTTGGCTTCGGCCCCTGGGACTTTGGTGTTGGATCCCGTGTTGCATTGTGTTCCCCTAGCGTAAGCTATTACGCAGTACGAGAGATACTCTCGTAAGAGAACGTACTCGGTTACTAACGTAACCTCGGTTCTCTCTAGAGAGGGAACGAGTACTGCGTATCTTGCCGTGCTTGGAATACGCTCTGGTTCGCTTCGGCGATGAAAACCAGCTTGTACCAGCCTAACGAGCATATTTATAGAGTGAGACCACGCCCTTTCTGGCGGGACGTGACGATATGGGCGCGAATTGCCCCCATTGGTCATTACGTCACGCAGAGTCTCTCTCGATAGGCTGCTGGATTTGCCGCAAGAGCAGCCAATAGGCGCGCGAGCTGTCTCGCCTGTGTCTGCTTGCTGCTGCAAAGCGTTTTACATTAATAAAAAATTAAGGATAATTTTTGGCTTCAATATCTCATGGAAAAGAGGTTTTCCCCTAGCGTAAGCTATTACGCAGTACTCATTCCCTCTCTAGAGAGAACCGAGGTTACGTTAGTAACCGAGTACGTTTTACACGGAGCGCTTGCTGAAGACCAGAAGCTGACAGTGCTGTGTTGCTCCCTTTGTTTCCTATGCCGTCACACATCACAGGTAACACAGCACCAATCAGGATTGGACAAGTTGCACATGTACTTCAGATGCTATCACAGTGAAGGCATTCCTCAAAGTGTCGTCACTCGACGCAGCGTGAGTTCCCTCGAAAGGGAACATTTTTATCTCCCACAGCCTTTTAAATACATTAACTGATAGTTAATTTTTTTATTTAATATTTGTATATTATTATTATTATTGGTTATATTTTTTATTTGTTATTATGTATTTGCTTTATTTTCCATTCAGTTCATGGGGAACTTTACCTACTAACTCACTGTATGTTATTTTACTTATGTTTTGTAAATGCCCAGTCATGCCATAAAAGTTTTGACTTTATGACTGTATTTCTGTAGGCTTAGGCAGACACTAGTATGTTACGATAAATAATTTTGAATAATTTGTCATTAGCCTATTAATATATATATATATAACTGATATATGTTAAAATAATATTTAAGCTACAAAAAAAATATTTTTCTTTCCCTTAAAGTATTTTTAATCCATTTTTAATTCACTGATATTGTCACATATATGGTGGTATTGAATAAATGCGTGACACAGAATATCTCACGATAACTCCTTTTAATAAACTTGGAGAAATATAAGAGAATAACATAACTGAACTGAACAGTGAGTAAATAAACAGGGAAAATATAATGATAGACAGCTGAACATAATCAGTTACCAAGGAGACTAACTAGGAAACAATAGAGGCTGAACTGAACTGAAGCACAATAAACACATAGGAACAAAAAGACAACAAAACAAAAAATAATCCTGACAGATATATATATATATATATATATATATATATATATATATATATATATATATTTGTAGCCTATATATATATATATATATATATATATATATATATATTGTCCGCTTGATCTCATTGTCTCTTTACCCAATTAAGGTTCTGTATTATCTATAGGCCTCCTCACAGTATCATAGAGGTTAGCCTATGTTTTGAAAATACTGTGTCCGACAGTCATGCCAATAAAGCCTTGATTCTATGACTCTATTTCTGTAGGCGCACTTAACGGGAATTGTACAGGAAGTTCACTTTACAGGAATGTATCATATTAGGCTATATATTTCATTCTATCTCAGCTAGTAATCAATAGGCTATAGGGGCCTATTTAATAATAATAATACCCTAATATACAAATATTAAATAAAAAAGACATGATCATTGAATGGATTTAAAAGGCCATGGAATTGGATGGATCAAAGTGTTTTCTTGTAGGCCTATATTATTTTATGTTTTTACATAATCTTTTAACATTTATTGCTAATAAACTATTGGAATAAAATGTTCATTTATTAACAACATCCATTTCCGATATTCCCATGTTGCTATGGTCACGCAGGTTTGTTTACACATTAAACTCATGGCCACAAGAAATACAGTTGATGTTGTTCCCTCAAGAATCAAGAATTCATGGCCAGAAGAAAAATATGTTCTTCCCTTTAAAAATCTTAAAGCCACGACTTCACATCACATGGCCACAACATAAAAATGCTGTCGTTAGCTCGACAAAATGATCTTTTGGCCACGACATATTATCACATTCCCACAAATTAATATGTCATGACCATGACAAAACTATGCAAACCGAACATATCCCCTCTCGGTCACCATATTATATGTATGTTTCATAACTAAAGAATAAATTGTGAACATTATTGTCAAGTGTAAAAAACCCCGTTTATGAGTACTGAGTATTAGTGTAAAATAAAATCAGTTCGCACAATTCTGACACTTGCAGGGTATTTATTAACATTAGATTGCATGACATTATATATATCACAACAGTGGCAATGTATTCAATTAAAATGAATGTGAAAATTTAAAATGTAATTCATTTCTTATTCTTCCTTGAAATGTTTCTGGATCCAGGAGAGAATGTCCTCATCGATATGAATGGAAAGAGTTCCGTCTGGATTAATGGGAACAGCGACAGGGAGACGAATATTCATCCTTGACAGTGTCATCTAGAGCAGCAGAAACAAAAATAATTTGTTGAAGTTTCTTATTATATCTCTGTGAGGGTCACAAATTAACTGAAAACTATTTCACCTCTGGAATCCTAGCAATGACATTCAAGGATCTCTGACTTGGCAAAGCTGCAGTCAGTTCAATCTCTTTCTCACTGTTCGATGCTCTTTCTAGGCTAAAGCCCGTCTGGTAAGCCGCCATAGGAATGTGCTTAGACAGCCTAATTGGGAAGGGATACACAAAGAAGAGCAGATTAAACCAGTGCCATTTTCTAAACTATACAATACATTTGTCATTCAGCATTGCTGAACATTACTTTTTGGCATATGTGGTGACAATTATTGGCAGCCTCTCCCATTCCAGCTCTAGACGTGCAGCAGGGAATTCGCCCAGGACACCGGCTTCAGCTTTAGCAGTGACTGCATACTGTTGGCATTCTTGACCCCAAGCAACCTTGGCCTGAAGGACATTTGTGTTCAAAGGATGGTATTGATGTAAATTATTTCACTTGAGAAATTAATTTCGATAATAGTTCCAGTCTCACAGTGACTTTGTGCTTGCTCAGCAGGGCACCATCAGCACAGATCTTCATGTTGTCATTTTCAGCGATGGAGGAAACAACGAGCTGCACTCTTGCTGTTGGCTTGTCAAAGTATGCAGCAAGTTGGTAGCCCAGCAGCTTGTGGTCAACTCTCACAGCACGGGCAATGACAGCAAAAACAGGTGGAAGAGCACTTCCGAGGAATATAGCCTGAAAGCATAAACCATAATCAATTTAAGTGGAATTTAGTACAAAATGTCACCTTTGGATTATATGTTATTAATGACACTAGTTGATTCACCTGTTTCTGGAGAGCCTCAAAGCTAGATGCAGTGCTTCCACTGCTTACTGCCTTTGAAGCACCATGGGGTGCCATGAACTGCAAGCAAAAATAAGTTTTGTAATAAGTAATCAATATAATCTAAAGTAATGATATTAAAAATAGTATTTTTAGTAGTTACCCGATCTTTGTGGAATTTCTTGAAGGGCTCCATGATCATGGCAGTCTAAAAATCCATATAAAATGATTCAGTGAAAAAAAACATATTTATGAGACAAATATTGGCTACTTAACCAACACGCTACCTTCCACGTCCTCACCTTACTCCTACGAGAGTTGGACATGGAGGAGCTTGAACTGCTGCTGCTGCTGCTGCTGCGGCTCCTGCGGCTCCTGCGGCTGCTACTGCTGCTTTCAGAGGAGACGGACGCATTTTTGTCTTCAGTCTCCAGGATTTCCCTCAGTTTCAACAGGAAGGCCTTTCCTTCTGGAGTCTCTTCATCAATGAGGCTGATTTGCTTAAGGAGCCTCTCAGCAGCTCTAGGACCAACTTGGACTTCAAGCTCAAGTCTTTCAACTGCAGGACCTTCAGCTAAAGCCAGAATGACTATTATTATTTTGTCTGCAAATTTTTTAGTTTAATCAATGTAATCTTCTCTGAATGAATACCTCTTGTCAGTGCAGCACGGGCTGAGTGCTGTCCAATTATGTAGAAGAGAGGAGAATTTCTGATAAAAGCAGCATTGCGAGAGTGCACCTCAACGCACCCCTTGATTTCAATGTATGGGACAGCAAGACAGAGAGTCTTGTGAAATGGAGCAGCAGCTCTCACAGGAGTCTCATCTGGTGTTTCAGAGGACTGAAAAGAATAATTAAGTATTATATGCCTTGCTGTTTTAAAACTTAAAGCAAATGAATGTTCAGAATGCTAACACATCCATCATGTGTGTTCAAAATTTACCAAATAATCAGCAGGAGTCTGGGTATTCTGCATGGCAGACTCGGGTACTAAGGGAACAATCCTCTCAGCGTTGGGCTCTTCAATGTTTCTAACTACAGCAAGAGTCTCAAAGCTGTTGGAACAAAAAAATGGTGAATCTCACTTTTAGAAGCCTTCTGAATTGTTTATGAATTGATTCAGAATGTTTGCTACACCGGTCTGACTAAGATTTCAGTACCTGACATCAGCAATGTGTTCAGGAAGATCAACAGGCAGAGCCTCCACCTTGTAGTTGCCCTTGAGAATGTCTGCTCTTGCTACCACTTTTCCAGGGACAATTGTACGGACCTTTCCTCTTGCCATAACAGCAGCTTGGATCAAGGCAGTGTTCACTCCCATCACAGCAAAGGTCTGGAGAGCAACACTGAAATAAAAATAAGGGAGATTGTTTGTAAAACTGTTGTCATGTACATTAGATCTCATCTTCATGAATGTAGCTGCAAAAGTCTACCTTGGTCTAGCTTCAGCTTGGAGTTGAACATCAGTCTTCTTGAGCTGGTCAAGAGTCATAGTCTCAATCGCCTCAGGGAGAGGAGGTGTAATGGTGGCCTTAACTAGAAGGATGAACAGAGCAACATCAAACTTCGAAGTGACACCCTCATATCCAAGGAAAGGATAAAACATTTTAAGAAAAAAACATACCATTGAGACTTGCAGCAGCAACAGCAGCAGTGTACAAACTGAGCTCCATGGGCACACCAACTGCTGTTGGCAAGATACGACGCACTTCAGATGCAAGCAGGGGTTTGGCATACTGGAAGGCAACTCCTTCCTGCAAAGCTTTAAGGGCATGCTTCAACTGTTCACGTGGTTTGGGTCCAGTGGCCATCTGGGGATGGTGTTTATGAGAAACTTAATTCTAATTGTGAGAATTATTTGTGAGACAGATCTAAAAAAAATATGATAATGAGAGAGTAGACATGAGCTAAAACTCTATACCTGTATTGCTTCTTCAATTATTGTCTTGTCAATGTTGAAATATGCCACTTCTTGTCCAAGTAATTTGACATAGGCTGAAGCCAATGGCTGATTGGTTGGAAAGTCCTTCCAGTTTGTGAGCTTGAGGTGTTAAAACAGAGAAGTTATATACATTTTGTCTATATCATGTTTATAATAGTTCTTAAAAGTACACAATTATATTGTACACTGGCAGTGTTGTGCCTGAACGCGTTCAATGAACGATAGTTCATGAACTCGTTCATATTTTGGGCGAACGTGAACTGAACGTACTGTATTACTGCCTGATGAACGTTACGGTGAACGCGTTCATTCTGGTGTCTGTAGACGCACGCTCTCTCAGTTTAACTTCGTTCAATAGGGTGCCAGATTTCTATAGAGCCTTCCAGGCGAAAACCCGGCTAAAACATGCGTAAACAGGCCTTAATATGTAGCAAAAAAACACCCAATCTGGCAACACCAGCCACCAGTGTCGCACCGCGGCCGCCACATGCGTCATCAAGACAAGAAGCAGCATGTATTCGACAAAGCAGCGAGCGAGGAGGCGTCGTATGATTATTTAAACGAGTTGTATGACAAGGTCGGTGAGGATGGGAAAAATCGTACATTTCTGTGCAAACTTTGCCCGCCGATAAAATAATTGCTGTCTGTGGTTGTATATGGGCTGTGTCAATAATTGAAGAAAAAAATAAATAAATAGCTCGCAGCAACATATGGAAAAAAAGAACTATGAACTAGTTCATTTTTTGAAGTATGAACTGAACTAGTTCATTTTAAAATTTGTGAACTGAACTTTGAACTAGTTCATGTAGAAAATGAACTTTCCCAACACTGAATAAAACTTACAGCTCTCAGTGTGCGCTTGATCCTTGTGATACGGTCAACACTTTCATCTGCAGCAGGAGATTTCAGAAGAACCTCTTGGATTCCTTCAGTTCTCACACCGATCTGATTGAAAGGATCAATTGAGTGAAGACTGAAAATATTTTAAAACCATGAATCAGTTTTTTTTTTTTTAAGGTCTTGGTTGTCCCACCTCAAGAACATCAGCAGCAGCTCCAGCCAGGTAAGCACGTGCTTTAGCTACAACAGCTCTGGGCAGGATGGTGGCGGCATCATTGATCATGTAGGCACTACCAGCAGCTCCAATCATAAGAGGAGCTGCACAGGGACAGAGGTAAGAATACATTTAATGTGTCAGGAGAATTCTTTACACATTTTAAGAAACTATTTTCTTATTTAAACAATTTTTTAGCTCTCTCTCAAAAATGGCAAGACTCACTATGATAGAAGTCCAGCTGAATTGCTCTGCTGAAACGGAAGCTAAGCCTGTCCAGTTTGCGACTCATGAGCTTGATGGCAACATTAGCTGCACCCGCACTGAAATGGACAAACCATAATTACCTCTGGCTTGTGCTCAATTCTGTCTGTTAAATTAAAATATGTGGAAAATGATTTGTTATTCTTACACAGATGCCATATCAGGTGCAGTGATTCTGGTCAAGGACTTCATGTGGGAATAGGCAAAGCTCGCAACATGCATGTTAGTCTCAGTCTTCAAAGCACCAGCAAGATTGGAGACGAGAGCCACTGAGGGCTTGGCCTCGAACAACACAATACAAGCAACCATACGTACTTCAGGGTGGAGAGCCCTGTCCAATACAAGCTGCAGGGCCACTGGCTGAACCTGAGGCAGAAAACAAGGTTAGTATATTATTGAATGAAAATGTGTGTAATCTTTACAGTAATTGATTCCTACAGTGTCTGACACTTACCAGTTTGTGCTCTTTCTTGGCAATGTTCCTCAGAGCCAAGATGGCATCAACCTGGACTTTAAGAGGCAGAGAAGTAGCTGCAGTTCTCAGTCCAGGTAGGAGCTTCATGATGGTTTTAAGACTAGCAGGGTGACCAGCATTGCCCAGGACTTTCAGAGCCAAAGTGATTTCAGGAATGTCATTCTTAGAAATGGCCTCTGTAGCAATATCATGGATGGGCTGAGTAGTTTGAGGCACATACAGTTAGACAAATACAAAATATTATAGTATGTCCATGACAGAAATTTATGGATGTCTTGAGGTGTTTACCTTGAGGAGCTCGGAGGGGCAAGTGGGAACTGCAATGCAGTGTTTGGCAATCATGGAACCATATCCAAGCATGACGACTTCACGCAGAGCTGGGATTGTGGCAATTTTCTCGTGCATAGCCAAACTCTGTTCAGCAACATACAGAAATGATTAATTTGATTCTGGTAAGATTTGAAGAACAGCACTTTGAGTATAGTATAAGATCTACCCACAGCTGTTAACTGGATGGTGTCCAAATCAGCAGTGACCATTTGCAGAGCAACCACAAGAGCCTGAATGAACTCATGAATGGTAAGTTCACCAGCCAGGAACTTCTCCTTGATGAATTTTACAATGACTGGTGTGCCAACAGCAGGAAGAGCATCCAGAAGCCAGCGCCTAACAGATTCATTGTTTTCAAAATATATTCATAATACAAATTTCCCTTGAACTATATTGCTATGAACTTATTGCTCAAACATTGTACCTGTAAACTGGTTTGTCTTTGAACTGAGCCCAGATGGCCTCAATATTCTCCAAGGTGGCAGCACGCAGGAGCTGGATGAGCTCAAGAAACTTATGTGGAGCATCATCATGGACCATGGCCACATTGTTTTCAACAAGGTGCTTTAAGACCTCAGTAATCTAGAAAGAGTAAGGGCAACACTTAGATGACGTCTTCGTGGATCAAAGACTTTGACTTGGAGACTTTTAAAGATGTTAAGTAATGAATTATACCTGAGCGGGTGCATCACTGATCTTCATGAGTTGAATGGGGGTCTGAAGAATTTCAGTTGAAAACTCATACTGCAAGGATCCACGGGCCAAGTAATCAGCTTTGACTGGAACAACAGGCGTCTTCTCAATCTCAACAAAAGTCAAGGTTTGTCTGAAAAAAAATATATATATATTTATTTATTAGTAATATTGTTACGTCATTTTTTTAAGGGAAATCTCACAGAGGATCAATCTCACTTTGCTTCCATCTGGGCAGCACCATGGATCTCATTGAAGGGTGAAAACTGATGCACTTCCTCAACTGTGGCTTCAGCGATCAGTACACCGGCGGCAGATGGTTTCATGATGTAGTTGTAAGATGCAGTTTCAATCAGACTCTTGACCCTCTGTTGGGTGAAAGGTATGTGACCACTTGACTCTTGGCATTTTCATTATATCGAGTAAATATTTCAAGTGTTTCTCGTCTTTTTCATTACCTTTGTGCATTCAGTACACCTCTCAGTGTATGCCAAACCGACGTCCTTCATGACTCTCTCCTGACAGTGGTTCAGATCCTTAGACTTGGTGACAATAATGTGGTTGGCCTTTGTATCCTCATTGATGACGTAGTGGGTCCTGCACACTCCCTGAACTCCATCCTTGAAGGAAAAGTAAAAAAATTAGATTGCAGAACTCAAAAAAGATCAAATACATACCAGGATCACTTTCTTACCTCTTGCAGCTCATAGATGTTCTGGGTCTTCTTGAGGTTGAGCTGAATGATGTTGAGGATTCCTCTGTGCAGGTTCAGTACTGTAGGGGAGACTCCTGCTGGGGCGAATACCTTTCCAACCACACCATTAACATACTCAAACTTGATGGGAATCTGAAGCTGAGCAGCCAGAGCTGAGGTGAGCTTAGTGGCAGGAACAAATGGATCCTTGGGCCAAATGCCAGCATACTCGTGGAGTAGAGGATCCATGAGCTGAAAAGGAATAATTTCACTTTTAAACAAGGGAATTGTTGCTTTTAACCCTTTCACACGTAAGTTTAAAATATTATAACTGACCCCCTCAGGGTGAGTTTTTCAAGGCGACTGTTATTTAGAACCTGACACTTTAATGTTTCCATGGTGACGCGTCATTGCTTGTCACGTGACACAGCGCAACCACAACACAGCGCTGAATCAATGATGATCTGCTTTTATGTCATTTTTCCTTTTTTATTCAAAATATTCACAAATGTATTAGCTATAGCATGAAACACTGATATTCCGATTGTCAAATATGTACAAGTGGATGTGTTTTGTTGTTTAAACACCTTTATAACGATCGCGTTAGTTGAGCTGTATGCGGTATCCGCAGACGCAGTTCAGATGATCGGATCAGTTGGATTTACAACACGTCAATTCCTCCACTTCTAACGAAATACATGAAAGTAAGTGGCCGGTGAACTGGGATAAGAATAGGGTAAAATGTAAAGCTACTTACACAATGTGTATTTGATATGAATAAAACGTGTCGTCTTATTATAATGGAAAGGATTATTATGCCGCTTCCATAGACATCAGTGTGTATTTTACAAACTCAAAATCATTGTTTTGCTAGTACTTATGTGTATTTAAATGTCTGAAACCTAAAGTAAACATTATGTGGTTGAAAACACTGAATAGTTGTGATATATGACAGCACTGAGCACGTCCGTCTCTGGCTCAGCGCCAGCCAACTCGCGAAAGCACGTTTGAATTTAGCAGTTGATCACTTGATGCACTGACCGTTCTAATCCCACCGGTGTGATCGTACGCTCCAGGGACCAGCCAAGACTGATCACACCAGTGTGATTGTACGCACGAAAGGGTTAACAGTCAATGCTTGCTAACGCAGTTTTAGTTTTTCCTTACTGTTGAACATAATGGTCATTACCTTCATCATGAAGGTGTTCTCTGTCATGGCACTGATGTGAACCTTGCTGCTGACTTTTATTCCTGCTCTGGCCAGACCTTCTTGAGGAAGACCACCCAAGAGCAGAGCCTCATACTTGTACACATAGGTCTTATCAGGGGCAAACTCAGGAACTGAAAATGGTAGAGTATTTATTGGGTTGAGTTTAAGCAAGTGTGCTATTTACAAATTACCAAATTACAATTTTGTTACTTACCAAGGTTGATCTGTTGACATGCTAAAAGAAACAAATGAGAAAATATGCTTTGAAAATGACTTAATTTAACTAATTTATTTTTAAGAGGTTCTAATTTACTTTCTTAAAGATAAATATTTTAAGAAAAGAGATACAGGAACTTCTTAAGTTCGAAAACAAAACTTACCCACAAGGGCTACAGTCAGGGCAAGCACAACAGCTCTCATGGCTGATGGTTTGTGAAGAGCTACTCAGAGAATCAGATCTTTTAAATTACTTTATTGCTGACCAAGTATTATTTTTTAAATGAATTATTAACAGATGTCTTTAAACATAAAAAGACTGTTGGGTCAACCTATCTGAACATCAATATCAATTAGAGATTAGGTTACCCTGTCCTGTCATGTCACCGTCAAGAGCAATGACCAACGTCAATTTTGTATTTGTCATCGTTTGCCAGAAAGTTGATCAGCAAAAGTTATCTTTGCCTAATTCATCATGAGTCCACTGCAAATTTAACAGTTTCTCTGGATTTATTATTTATATGTATCTGTTTGAGTAAAATGAATATTTTTTATTTATTCTACAAACTACTGACAACATTTCATGCAAAGTTCAAATAGAAATATAGTAATTTAGAGCATTTATTTAAAGAAAATGACTACTGGTCAAAATAACGAAAAAAGATTTTCTGTTTTCAGACCTCAAATAATGCAAAGAAAACAAGTTTATATTCACTTTTAAACAACACAATTCTGTTTTAACTTAGGTGAGTTCAGAAATCAATATTTGGTGGACTAAGCCTGATTTCCATTCACAGCTTTCATGCGTCTTGGCATGCTCCCTATCAGTAGGTCACATTGCTGTTGGGTGACTTTAATCCACTCCTGGTGAAAAATTTAAAGCATGGCTTTATTTGATGGCTGGTGAGCCTCTTGCTTACATTCCAGAGGTTTTTAGTGGGTTTCAGGTCTGGAGATTGTGATGCAGGGGCGGATCTACAGGGGGGCAAGGGGGGGCAAGGGGGGGCAGGTGCCCCCCCACTCTAGAGCCTTGCCCCCCCAGCTGCCCCCCTAACTTTAATGATCCAAAAACTGTACTTGTAAAAACAACCTGCCACTATGTCCACAAGCTTCTCAAAACAGTGAACTAAACAATACATTTACCAAAAGTGAACAATTTCATTTTTATTTTTAAATATATTATTAGCCCCTCCCCCCTGCGTCCCTGATTCAAACGTGCAGAGCCAGAGCGGGCGGCGTTGGCGGCTCACACACACACAGCGAGTCTGCTGCGGTAAGGTGGCCCTGCAACCCGACTGGAGAGAGTGAGCTTCCCCAGAGCCTCTGAAGGTGAAGTGAGTTTCCCCAGGTGTAGTTTAAACACACACGTTTAACTTAAAGTTACATTTGTAATTAATGTATTGTATACTAAAGACGATTCAGCATCAGCAAAAACAGCGCGTCTATTACGTTAGCCAAAATCAGCGGTCAATTCGCTCCCTCGTGATTTGTAAGAGCACTCTTCCCTTTGATTAGCCTAATTTTGATTTTAGTAAAGACAAGAACAGCTTAAGGCGAGACACAAAAACATCTGGTTTTTTTCACTGGTTAATTTTAAGATTAACCATCTTAAAACGATCTTCTTTCAGACTTGTGGTGAAAAATGTTTCCAAAAAAACACATTTAGGACTTTATTTTACTACACTTTGTCTATTTGCGTCAGTAGATTTCTCCTAAATTCAACAAAAGTTGTCGTTCTAAATCAACATGCTGCTCAGCGATCGCTGCATGTCGATGTCATCACATACATCTCTGTTGGAAAGCTCTCTCTCCTGTACATTGTTGTCGTATCCAAATATGGTCATTTCCTTTTAATCAGTAACCAATCGTGAAAATACAATGGACATTTAACTCTAAAACCGAAATCTCATTGGCTGATGTCAATTTCTGACAACGTGATTCGTTCAGATGCATCACGTGACGTGCTCTGACATTTAGATATGCGTTTTTGACTGTTTTTCTGTTCAGTTGAAGGCCATAAATGCTGTGATTTAGGTGGTTTGTATTGTTGTTGCTAATGATTTGATAAGATATTGTGTCTGTAAATAGTTGTTTCCACTAAAAATAGTATGATTTTTTACATTACAAATCTTTAAATGCTGTTTTCTCAAAATTATTTTCTTGTCATTCTCCAGTACAAACATCTCAGCCTGTGTAGCACCCATGT